ATATATATATATATATATATAATTAACTTATATAAATTATAATTAATTATTACCTATTACAAATTAAGTTTCGAGTACGTATTCGCGATAGATTTTATTTTAATTTTAATATATATATATATATATATATATATATATATAAATTCGATAATACGAGAGCACTTTCAAATAATATATTTATTCATTTCAGATCGACACAAGTGTTATTACAAATGCAGTCAATATGGATTCCAATGTTGGTCTCGACTACATTGTGGATAACGCCGACTACTGCGACAAACTTGCTTCCGGTAAGCTAAGCCCACAGATAAGTGTATATATTTTTCTCTCCAATTTCTTATCAGTTACACAATTTATATCCTGTTTCCCGTGCTGTTACCATTGTGCAAACCAACATTTATGACGCAGCTTTGGATACAGCTTGTCCATCCGTGAAGAAGCAAGTCGTCGAGTTACTCTCGGCTCTCTGCGTTTACAGTCAAGATGGACGACAACGTGCAATCGACACTCTTCACATTTACCAGGTAAATATAAAAAATCTTAAAAATATGTATTTCTTATCTCGCAAAAAATACTATATATTATAGAGTAATATTTATATTTAAAAATATAATTTAAAATTCCGTAAAAGACTAAATGTAGACTAATTTTGTGTAATTTAAGAAATGATTTATTTACACACTTTCAATTTGATTTTATTACTATACGTATTACAAATATTAAATTATTTAAAAACTAATGAATTATTTACTATTTGCCATTGAAAACTATAATATAAAACGCATATACAAACTCTTATTGACAACATAAATCATAAATGCATCTTTTTAATTTTCTTATATATCGAAAAATTTTTGGAAAATTTTAAATCTCTTAGTGTTAAACTACACTTTATGATATTTAATAAGCAAAGCGTAGTACTAAAATAAAATCTAACTAATTAATAAAAATAAAAATGATTAAAGAAATAATTTCGACAATTTACTAAGAACTGGAAAAGGAAATCTTATCTCGTTATGAAAAAACAAAATTACATGATTCATTATACAAACCCAAGATAAAAAATATCAATCAAAAAACATTAATTTTTTTACAAGCACAAACAACCTAAAAATATAAAGTTATTTCAAAATCACGACAATGTAATTTTTATTTTAATACTCTTATCGAATTATTAAAAAAAATATCCGAATTAATTTAGACTTTGTTAAATCTGACAGATTTTGCGAAGCATGTTACTTTCTATTATGGCGCGGTAAATAAGCATTGCAAAAGCATTCCCAGCAGTTACACGGGTTTACAATTATATACGTATGTAAATTAAAAAAAAATTGTAGCAATAGCATAGACAAATTATCAAGAACTGAAAAAAGAAATCTTATACACATTAATCTTAATATTATATACATATATGCATATATGGATAAAACACGAGGCTTTGAAATAACAATATCCCCATCACGCTGATGCGCAATAATTTGGTGTGTTGGTACCTGCAAAACAATGAGTTTACTAGATTACTTATCCCGACGCTATTCTACACTATTTTAGTTGGTGATAAAATCCTGTCACGATATTTCTTGCCCACAGGAGCACAAAGGCGTGCGCTACCGGCTTCTTCTCGTTGTCGACGAGTTGCGAAAAGCAACGGCCGAGGATTACCAGACGGCGCTACTGGCATTCATCAACTGTCTAGTCATTTCCGCACCGGTCCTCAAGGACCGCATACGGATCAGAAACGAGTTTATCGGTGAGTGCGATAAGATTACTCTCTATTGAGATTGGCGTAAACAACTAAAGGATTATTCGATTTATTCGCTTTTAAGAATAATTACGAGTATTTAATTTATTCGAATTTACGTTTAACAGAAAGCTCAGGTATTTATTGTTCAGTGCTTTTATAATTTGTACATTATATTATTCAAAATAATTCACTTCAAGGTACATAGAATTTTAATGTGGAAATATTGCGAGATTTGCTGCTGTTTTTTCTTGACCAGTTGATGCAGCATTCAGAAGAACGTTCGTTATTTAAATTATGATTTCTACAATATACCGATTAATATATAATCAAAATGCTTTCAATTTTCTATGAAATATTTATATTTCTATATTTTATATTTTTATAAAATATAAAATTTATATAAAAATTTCTACATAAAAAAGGCACACTAAATGTTTTTGATTATTTGTGATTATTTATTTTATTGTCGTAATTTTTTAAAAATAGTAATAAAAATAATAAATATTAATAAATAATAATAAATAGTAATTATTTTGAAAAAGTAGTATTATTGTTATATACGAACATATTGATTCATGGGTTTTATCAGTAGAGTTATCCTTACATCAAAAGTCAATGTTATCAAATAATTTTAAAAGTAATATAAATAATTATTGTTATATAACAAAATGTGTTTGTATTATTTAATCATAAATAACTTTTACTTCCTTATATTACTGTAGATATAGAAAACTTAAAATTAATAACAGCTATGTTTTTTATGGTGGACTAGTAACGTTACTAGTAACTAGTTAATTTATATATATAAATAAAAAAGTCAATATTTTGTACGAATATATTTATATTGATAAAGTGAAATCGTTTTTACAAGTATTAGTAATTATAAATAATGAAGGATTTACAATTTCAGGAAACTTTTGATTACTAATTATAATGTCGAATGTGATATATCATTTTCTTACTCTTTATGCTTCTAATTCCTTACAGATTATATGACATTTAGTGCATTCTTTAAAAAGTCATTATGTTATTATATCAATTATTAGCACTTTTTATTTGATGTACTTTATGTAAGAATTTACTTGTTATTTAATTATTACAAGTTACGTTACATTTTTTTTTCATTTTTTACGATAGGTATAATTCATTTATAAATTTGCAGTAGGAAAACATGATTTTTTTATTAAGTTCTATTCATCTAATGTTGAATTTTTCTTTCTATATAGTATAACTTGCATCCAATTAGTATTTTAAATTCCATTCAACTGTATCAAATAAATCCACAATGTTAATTTCAACCAAAACCCATTATTATATTCTATATTATTATACTTTACATACAAGTATATTATACAAACTACCCAGGATTCTATTACTTAATATATATAATATTGCATACAAATATTTAATCTATTATTCTTTTCATTGTTATGGTAATCTATATTATATTTTAAGTATTAGTTATGTATTAATAGAAATAATTTTTCAATGATTTATCAAAAACTTTGTATATTTTGTAGTAATTACGTCTCTATGATAATTCTCATTTGACAGATCATAAAATACAACACTATATTTAATTGATTTATATTCCTTGAAATAATAATAAAGTATTACTTATTTAATTACTAAATACTATATAGAAATTAACATTAATTATAAAAAAATATAATTTTTTATTAAGTTAAATAAAATAAGTTTTTGATGAAAAGTAATTGTAATTAATAAAAGTATTTTTGTAGGTCTCAAGCTTCTCCCAATTCTCAACGATCTTCGGTAAGTAATCTTATATACTAAAAGCTAAATATAAGCATACATTAATATCATAAAAAATTGATTCACTCTTAATATTTCTTAATTATATATTAAAATTATTTTACTAGGAAAGCATTAAAATTAGTTTATTACATTTTCTATGAAAAATTGTTTTGAACAAACATAATAAATAAACAGTTCACGTATATGAATTAACATTGAAAAACTACAGTCACTTATATTACAATATAAGTAATCTATAATAATCTATATACAAAATTTACATAAATTTTTATTTTCAGCATTATTTACGTAAGTAAAATTTAACCATAGTAAAATTACAGTTGTATTAATAATAAATTTTTATACAAGTAAAATATCTTATAAATAGTCTGATACGTAAAAAGTCTAAGAACTTATAGAAATTAATTGTATACTTCTGTATACAATACATAATGCATTATAATAAGAAATATGCTATACAAAACTATAAAATTTATTGCATGGGGATTCTTTAGAGCTATATTATTCGAAATCCTTTCATATATGAGAATACTGTTTAAAAGTAGAATCACTTGAACTTGAATATTTCTTATCTGCAAATTATTGATAGTTTCAAAAGTGCATCTTTTTTAATTATTATATATTAATTATATATTCGTAAAAGCTTTTTGAATAATAATTAGAATAATATAATTTTAATCAAATATACTGGTTCTAGCTTGCATTTTATATACACAAATAATTTTTTAAAAAAATTATTAAAAATGAAGAAGAGATATGGCTAGAGCATTTTTAAATAATTTTTATGCTTATTGCACAATCAAATTCTTAAAGTCTATGACCAGAAACATAAAATACAACCCATTCAGGAGAGAACTAGGTTTAAATAAGAAAAATTTCGTATATACTTCTTATTAGGTGATAGAATAGTACTGTAACATTAAATTTCGATTCATTAAGACAGTGCTTCCAAATGAATTAAAAAAATCCATTAAGAAATGGCTAAATAAAAAAAAATTAAAAACTTAGTATTACAGAAAAATCCAATAGATCTTCAATATTTCTCTCTCTCTCTCTTTCTCTGTCTCTTTCTCTCCACGGAGAGGAACGTGCGATAGGCACCTCATAACATTATTCGTATGCTCGTCCGAAGTGCAAACTAAACTTTACAAAGAAAGCACGTGGAGAGACAGATAGATGATCAACCGAGTCACAGCGATAGTAGCATCCCGCCAGTAAGCGAGAAATAGAATCCAGACAACCTATGGTATCCTCTCCTTTTCTCGCTCTCGGCATCCGTTTTTCTTTCACTCTTTCTGCATTTCTCTTCATCTCTTCACATTCCTAGAGACCTTTAGAGACAAGAGAACCAGGAGACTAGGGACAGGCGTCTGAATCAGAAGGGGAAGTGGAAGGGAGAAAGCTCTTTCCACTTGCGCCCCCTCTCTTGCTTCACATGAAAATCAAGAGACAGAAAGATCATCCCGAATTAACCTCGAGACCAGAAAATTCCGAAGAAAGAGAGAGATGCACCTGCAGATCGACGACGACAACGACGACATCGCAGCCGACGCCGTCGCCACCGCCGCCACCGCCGCCACCGCCGCCACCGTCGCCACTGCCGTAGCTGCCGTAGCTGCCGAAGCCGCCACCGTCATAGCAGTGGCTGTGACGACTGGAGGCGCGCAACGATTGATAGTTTTAACTTCCCGAGAAGCGTGAGCGCACTCAAAAGACGACCGGTACCCTTTTACATTAGTTGTCCGTATTCTCGATTTTGTTTCTCGGCACCGCGTACTTTTGTGCGTGCGAGCCCTTAAATAAAGATCAAGCACCGACCTTATCGCACACCTCCATGGATACATAGAGAGCCGGAATCTGGCTGTCGCTCCCTCATGCTGCCAAGTTTCCAGTTTACACACTGTCTCTCCTCTGTTCGGCTTCGACATTCTACTGCAGCTCACGAGTTACTCCGACGTTTGTGTCTCTTTTTGTATGAGAGTGTGCGTATGTGGGTGTAAAATTTTCACGCGCTTTTTTCATTTTCTATTACGCACTCTCGCAAAACCCCTTCCACTGCCGCCATTTCACCATCTGTCGCACGTTCATTTCTTCCTTCTTTCATTCTTCTTTTCTTTAGCTCACTTCTCCTTTTTTTATGGTAGACCATTTCTATTTTCGTAGGCGTGTAATTACACTTTTTATAGGATGAAATTGTTCTATACTCCAAGCCTACGAATGCAGTCATATACCGCAAGCATTAAACCATTGTTGATTTAGATCCCATTTTACAAAGCAACACATACATGTGTTCAGCGAGATAAGTGTGGCGCAATCTTCGGAATGGACTAATGATACCACTTATGTTGATTTAGTTTCTACAGTTTTCAATAGTACGTGTAACATATTTTCTCTTGCTCTTACTGAAAAACAAACTTGCACATCATTATATTTTTATTCTGTTCTTCGTTTTATTTGTTTTATTATTATTACTATTATTATTACTATTACTATTATTACTATTATTATTATTATTATTATTATTATTATTATTATTATTATTATTATTATTATTATTATTATTATTATTATTATTATTACTATTATTATTATTATTATTCAAGCGATATTCTTACAAATTATAATTAACAAAAGTTATCATTCATTTTAAAAATTCGGTGTTTAATAAGAATAAGAATTACAATTACTTTTACATTTCGAATGATACTTGTATAAATGAATCACTGCTATTACATTTACAATAACAGAAGATATATCGAAATAACTTTACTGAAAAACTCAATTTATAAAAATTAATTAAAACACCAATTCGTTAGATGTTAATGAATAACTATTTATTCGGATAAATTGATGAAGAGTTTAGAATAATATTTTTATATTTAATTACAGTATAAAAGTATCTCGCGGTTAATATAGATTATAATGTTCAATTGTTATGAAATTTTCTATAATAGCTATAATTAAACTAAAAATGTGAAACCTAATCAAAATTAAACATAGATGCAAGTTTTGTGTGATTCACGCTAGTATGTGGCTGGTTTATATTTAAAATAACCGCCCTAAAATAAGTAGTAAGATTTCTGTCAGTATTCCACATATACCGGGGAAAAAATATCATGGAATAAATTTCATGACTTAAAATTTTTTAATATTATTTAAAACTAAATTATTCTACATATATAGAAATTTTTTTTTGTATTCTAAATGATAATTCTCAAATTATATAAAAGAAAAAATTAAAAGAAAAAAATTTACTATTCAAATATATTATAGTAAATATAAGAGTAAATATTTATATAATAATTGTTAATTTACTTTGATAATTATAATGTTAATTCATAACAATTCAAATTAACCTGCCATCAAAATGAACAATAACATAAAAAGATATAGGACTCAGCATTAGATATTTAAATAATTTCTTCAATTTTTTTAATGTATTTATAAATTAGTATATTGACATCATTGAAAATAATTTCTTAAGTTTATGTGCTTTTAAACAAACTCATAATGACCGTATATTTAGTATATAATGCCCAAGGCATATGAAATAATGAATATTTATTTCATGAATTTCTATTATAAAAATTTTATAGTAAATTCATTGAATAATTTAAAATAACAAATGAACGTCTGTTCGAACAGCGCACTCTTATGTATAGTAAAATAAAAAACACATCCGGTGCCGTTTAACACGATTCGAGCGTTTGTAGAGACATTTTGCAGCTTCGTATAATCGTCTCGCTCACAATATAATCTCTCCGACGTTGGTGCTTATGAATAATCACAGCAATAAAGCATGTCAAAGAAGCGCAGGGAGTCAGGAACAAGCTAAAATTAAAAGATATTGCCAAAGATTTTTGGATACAAAAGATTAGTGGGCCGTGAGCACTCTGTTAATCAATGAATTAATGCTGCCGTAAATCGATAATTGACGTTTGCCATGGGCAAACTGATTCATCAGCTGCTTCGTGCTCTGTTGATTTCGCGATACAATGGCCGTCGCGACTCGCCGTTAAGTGTAACGGTTCCGATGGACTGCTGCTACTGTCGCCGTTGCCGCCTTTAACTGCATTCATCCGGCCCGATGAGCTGTATTGATGACAGTCTTAGCCACCAATCATTGTAAGTCTACTTAGGTTTGTCCCCGCGGACTACAACGCATACGAAAGTTCATATGCGGTCGAACGCACGTACGTGCGCGTCCGGCATTGTCGAATGGTGACAGGGGAGTGCGGTTTCGTTCTGACATCGACTTGGCGGCAATGATGCGCTGTCATGAGTCCATCCACGCACCCACCGCTCACCAGGTATCTCCGTTTCAGGAAGGAGAAGAGCCACGTGCCGGATCTCAGGGTACAGTTGGACGTATTCGACGACCAAAGGGACACGGACGAGGAGCTATCGAATCAAGGCCCACCCGGCATCGATCTATCCTCACACGTCGATGTCTTTTACGCCATCCTTGGACAGGTGAGGCCAAGCCTTACATTTCTATACTGCTCGAAACCTTGGTGGAAAGATAACGATGATTCAGGAGAAGTTCAGCTAGTGGTGTTATGCGAGATTCGAGAACTAATGACATACGCCACTCGATGAATTTACTTGAATACAGTTTTGAAATAATTATTTCTAATTGATCTTTATATTATTGGTGTCACTAATACTTATTTCAATGGATCTATAAATTATTTTAACTTAATCTTTTCATGTGAAATTAGCTCTATTTTTCATTTTATTTGTCGCACTTGCAATCGTCTATCATTGGACTTAATAACGTTGCAACTATATATTATAACTAATTATAACTTTTTATAGATTTATTATAAGTTATAAACTATAACTTTCTATCTCGCCTATGTGTTACTTTAATTAATACAATTTTAAATAAATATAAATTATAAATTGTCCCACATTTTGTGCTCAGGTAAACAACAGAAGAGAATAACGAATAATTAGCAAATTTATATTATGTATAGGTCGCAGACACACCTCAAGAAATTCCATTCCTGAGCATACTACAGCATTTATTGCGACTTGATCCTAAAGAGGCGGCAAGCGATCTTGCCTGGGATACCGCCGAAACGTTGGTCCATCGAGCCACATTATTAGAGAACCGAGAGGATGCTACCAAGCTCTTGAGATCACCGAGCTTACAGGTTACTATTCTTATTCATTGGATACACTTTTTTGCTTCGAATAACGACGTGATCTAAGAATGCTGAGCTTAACGTTCAAATCCTACTATGTTTTGTATTTACTTCAAATTCTCCTCTTATTAATTAATGGCAGAATAATTTTAAATAGTTAGAAATTCATATAAAATTAAATAGATTAAATATTTTATATATAAAATAATTTATATAAAAATTAAATATATTAAATAAATTAAATATTAAATATTAAATAAAAAATTTTTAAAAATTAAATAGAATAAAATTAAATATACGTTTATACAAAGCATTAAGTTAGATCGTTATGTTTTCATGTAAATATTTATATATAAAGACTTACTTTTTATTTAGTCAATATGAACTATATTATTCTTTAAAATATGATTAATAATGCACATAATAATTTCACTTAAAATCTTGTAACATCGAATATTTACTGAATTACAACAAAACATAAATCATTATAATAATCAAGGTCATAAAATAACGCGCAACTTACTACTTCAAAAAAGTATCATACATTAAAAGTAAATTTTAAAATTTACAATACTTAAAAGACAATAAATAGACACCATCTTATAAATTATGTTCTTAATTATATTGAAGAAAATGAAGTAGTTTTTATTAAATCTGTTTAAAATTGGCAAATTCAGACGAATCTATGCTGCCACTGTCGAGGTACCGATCAGACCTGCGGTGGCAGTCGCAAGTCCTCGGTGCCGACGACGACCTCCACAGCAACAACGATGACAACGAATGCGAGCCCCGTGCCACCTCCGCCCCCGCCGACTCTCATACTGCCGCCTCCGCCCCCACCGCCGTTCCTTGTTGTTGGACCCCCGCCACCACCACCAAATGCTCCTATGGAAGTACCCCCGCCATTGCCCCCACCACTCCAAACGCCGATTCCCACTCGCGTTCCCACCCCGGAACCACCCAACAACAGCGCCAAACTCCTACCGCAACAGGAAATACCCACCCCCAAGACCAAGATGAAAACCATCAACTGGAACAAGATACCGAACCACAAGGTTTAATTCAACATTTTTAATTTTGCTTCTATGTCACTTTAATTTTTACTATTTAATTATTATCTAATTATGATTTGTCCTGTTTGGGAAAATATTTGAAACATTATACTTGAATTAACTGCTTAAAATATGACACCGAAACACGAAACACTCGTTGTTTGCTCTGAACTTTTCTATAATAATTACAATTTATATACATATGTACATAATATGGCATTATGCATTGTATATTATTTGTTTGTTTTCAATTACATGTAGGTCATTGGCAAAAGAAACATTTGGTCTCTAGTTGCTAACGAGCATCAAAATTCGCCGATGGCGGATTTAGACTGGGCAGAAATGGAAGGGCTTTTTTGTCAACAAGTGCCACCCATGATTCCAGTCAATACTACATATTCCAACAATTTTGGCAATGGAGTGGATACTGATAGACGACGTCGTGAACCTATGGAAGTAAGCATTTTGAATATGATTTGTTATTTCAAAACATAAACATTTATATATTTTTTTGTATCGAAATAATATATCAAAATATAGTATCGAAACAAACTAATTTTCAATTAACAAACTTTTATCTTATAAATTATTTATTTTAATTGTAGATTGCATTACTTGATGGCAAGAGGAGCTTAAACGTTAATATATTTTTAAAGCAATTCAGAAGGTAAGAGCCGCATCGAACCTTTGTTGTATACTTAAAACCATTACTTCACCAATAAAAATGAAATAATGCACATACATATGTGCAAGTTCATAGCAATCTGCATAAATAACATTGAGATATAAAAAGGCTTATTTCCTATAGTTCAAATGAAGATATAATTCAACTAATCAAAGACGGTGGGCACGATGATATTGGTGCTGAGAAACTAAGAGGCCTGCTAAAAATCTTGCCGGAGGTCGACGAACTCGAAATGCTTAAAAGCTTTGACGGTGATAAGTCGAAGCTCGGAAACGCTGAGAAATTCTTCTTACAGCTTATTCAAGTACCAAAGTAATTAATATTGCATTGATAAGTTTTCATTTTTTATAATATTTTTTAAAATAGCGGGCTTTCTTTCTTCTATGGAATACGAAGATTGTATCGAAAATGATATATTATTGCATTGAATAACTATAATTTTTGTATAAATAGTATTGCATGTATAATATAAATTTGTAATATTCTTTATTATTATATATGAATATTATATAGTTTTTACAGTTATTTTTAATATCAGATTTTAACTTGAAATGTAGCTAATGAAAGTAAAAATATATAAACAATTTTAGTAAAGTATTTTATCATAGAACATTCTTGTTCATAATAATTTTTCCAAATTCTACTTTTCACATATTTACTTTCAACTTGTCAATTACATATTTACTTGTCACTGTTGTTCTACTCTACAGTTATAAATTACGCATTGAATGTATGCTACTAAAGGAAGAATTTGCAGCGAACATGAGTTACCTTGAACCAAGTATAAATTCGATGATTCTCGCTGGCGAGGATCTTATGACAAACAAGTCTTTACAAGAGGTGCTTTATATGGTATTAGTGGCTGGAAACTTTTTAAATTCAGTAAGTAAATTTTGAGCATTCATATTACATATAGATATTTATCAATATATGTGATATGTTGCAGTCCTTTAATTAATTTTTAAATAGTGTATTAACTCTTCAAAGTACTTAATTCTGTCTTTATTTTATTTAATTTATAAAATAACAATAATATATAAATTAAAAAATTATAATTTAAAAGTTTTACAACAGAAAAAATTTATTTTATTAATCAGGGCGGTTATGCAGGAAATGCTGCTGGTGTGAAATTATCATCTCTTCAAAAATTAACTGAAATTCGTGCCAATAAGCCTGGGATGAATCTTATACATTATGTAGCAATGGTAAATAATTGCATTAATATATACATATATTTATTTATTTATTTAGGACATTAAAGGTATCAATAATTTTTTTAATTTTTATTTATTATAATTACTGTAGCAAGCTGAACGGAAAAGAAAGGATTTACTAAATTTCGCTCGAGGAATGAGTGCTCTTGATTCAGCTACAAAGTAAATATTACTTTATTTGCATCAATTTTATGGATGTATTATTAGATAATAATTTCATTCCTTTATCAAAGTACAATGAGTAAAAAATGGTTTTATTTTAAACACAATGCTTCCTTTCTGTTAAATTTACTAGAACAACGGTCGAGCAGTTGATGAACGAATTTAATGCACTAGATACAAGAATAAAGAAAATACGAAGCCAAATACAGCTGCCCAGTACCGAACTCGATATTCAAAATCAAATGGCCCAATTTCTACAGATGGCCGAGCAAGAAATGGCGCAGCTAAAAAGGGATATGGAGGAGCTTGACGGCGTTAAACGCACTCTTGCCGAGTTTTTTTGTGAGGACTTTAACACTTTCAAAATTGAGGAATGTTTTAAAATCTTCCATCAGTTTTGTCAGAAGTTTAATCAAGCAGTGGCGGAGAATGAAAGACGAAGAATTCAAGAGGAACAGGTGCTTGCCAGACGAAAGCAAAGGGAGGACCAGCTACTAGCTAAAAAGCGCCTATGTATGAAAAAAATTTATTTTATATATATATACATAATTTTTTTATTAAATAGGAAGTAATAAAATGGATTAATATTATTATTTTACTAGATATTATTGCTTAGATAATATTATAATATATGGATAATTATGTATATTATATTATTGCTATACCGTTATCATGAAATATTCAAATTAAAATCATAGGTACATAAAAAGTATATTAAACCTCAATTCCAGCGAATAATAAATAAAGATATATAAAATATCTTTGGCTTCGATACTTAATCCAATAAGTTCCGCGAAATTTTTTTTATATTTAATATAAAGTTAGTTTATCTATTGCAGTGAAATTTTTAAAAATGATTTCGTATTATTTTAGATGAAAATATTTTTCAATTATAATTCACATACCAAAAGTCATCTGATAAATTTGAACAATAATTTAAGTCCATAAAAGAATTTTAAACATTTTTCAGTGAACAATCAAGCTGAAACTCCGAATTCCGAATCTGATTGTTATTTGATGGATTATAACTCTTTGGAAAATGGAATGCCACAAAAATCTTATAGTCGCGATACCAAGGTTAGTCCTACATTATAAGAGATTTATAAAAACAAACGATAAAAAAATAGCAATCTTAATAATTTGCATATTATTTTAATAGATAAAAAGACTTCAGAACGGCATCGTAACGTCAGATGAAGACATATCAACTACAGGATCGCCTAATATTCGTCGACGTTTAGGCTCTTGTTCGGGCGGTCCTGATCAACTCTCTACCAAAGAAGATACTTATTCACCAGGTACTTTTTTAAATACCTACCATAAAATACATACTTCATTTATATGTTAAAATGTAAAAGTTCAAAATTCAAAAAATGTATTTTAAAAATATTAAATAATGTTAAAAAACATTATTATTCACATACACATACGCTGGCGTTCGTACTTACATACAAGTGTACTGCTTATTCTTTAGAATTTACGACAGTTCATATATTTATTTATATAAAGTAAACGTAATCAATAGACTTTCATTGTTTTCTAGATATAACACCAAATGGAACCTTACGTCGAAGACGGAGTCGCATCCCATGTGAAGATGACGACGGTAACTTAATGGACTTTTTACGTACAACTGGCCAGGATAATATACGAGAGCGAAAGTCATGGGGTAGTTTAGGTACCTTCAATTTCCTTTTTTTAATTTATACTTTTGTTTGACAAGCAAGACTTTTGTAACTACAAAGATTTTGTTAAGATCGTTCCTGGGCAAAGCGAGCACGCGGACAACCACGGCGAGGAGATTTATTGAACGCCGATTTCTCTGGTGATCGTGAAAGGCCGAGTTCACCATCTCCACTCATCGAAAGCAAGTCTTTCTTACACGAAGAAGAAACGAAACCTACTGGGTAAGATAATCGGTCAATAGATATTTTTTATAAATAGGTATTTTAAAAAGTTCGATGATTGCTAAAATTATAATATATTATTTTCCTATACAAAGAAAATATAAATCAATCTAAAAAATATGACACTATCCAAACATTTGTAATTGATAAATTATCTACTCATTATCAATTTTCTACATAGTTAATAAATATCTTAATTATTTTAATTATATTTTCCTTATTTATATTGCAATTTTTCATATTGTTATTTGATACATTCTAATAATGAATATTTAATCATATTAAATGACATATTTTTTACAGAAAAGCAATAAAATTAATTTATTTAATCACAAAAGAAATGTATGCTATTTTGATAGGATTTGTAATTTTATAGATGATTGAATTCAAACATTTAATTAATGCTTTTTAATCTTGATAACCTAGAAGATTTCAGTACATACTTCTATAATTTAAATTCACATATGTAAACCTTAAACACAAAAGAATATTTATACCACATAGAGGTTACGAAATATGTTAATGTTGCTGTCAATTAATAGGAAACGGGAAAGATGGATGAAGAAATATTTCAGTAAACGTTATGTATACTGATATAGTACACATTTTCCTTATTTGTTTTATTTCCTATTATATCAAACGGCAATTTAATAAATTTTATAAGAAAAGTTTTTTTGTAAATATAATAAATAATTCAATTTCATTGATTATAATGTTAACAGGAAAGCTTGGAGACAAAAGATTGAAGCTTGGCTGACGGAGAATGAAAAAGAAGAGCGTGCGGGTGAAAAGCTTCAACGAAAAACTAGACAACGACAAGCTAACCGCCGATCCTTCGAAGACTCAGGTATATTTAAAACTATTTTTAATATCTTTTTAAATCTCTTAATCAACGATTTATTTATTTATTTTAAAATGTACTTTTAAATAACTTGTAGAGAACGAAGGCAAAATTTCACAGTTGAATGCCTTTGCCGAGGACAATATATCGAATAGCGACAGATACCAAAAATACGATTGGCGTCCATCTGTCGAAAAAACCGATGTTATGCGAACAATGGAAGCTATCGAAGGTAATGTTTACTTGAATATCGGGGTGTTAAAATAATAGTTTCAATAAATTATATGGACCTTCCATTAAAACACTCTTTTTAAATTAATAGAAGCTCAACCAACATCATTACAAAAAGATAAATCTCCTTGGAGGAAGTCCAGCCTCAATGTGCCAAGTAGTATTGAGGATAGTGATGCTCGATATTCTCGTAGACTTCGATCTAGACTCAATCCAGACAATATTCTTGGATCAAGTACTTTACAAGTACGCCAATACATAATGGTTTTTTAATTTATGACTACCTGTTATATTTGAATTTTCAAAAAAAAAAATCAATTTAATCTCATAATTTCTTAAAAATAAGTACCAAATAATTAGATAGATACATATACATATTAATTAGGATAGATTAAACCGCGGTCATAAAATTTTAAATCCATTTTTAAAAAATTCATGAAATAATTAGTATTTTCAGCGAATAAAAATATATGTAGAAAATCTAAAATACAATATAGGTTACAAAGTTAATTTAATATAAAAAAATAATTGTAATATAAATTAATTATGCGAAAATATTATAAATATAACTTAAATATTATTTTGAGAATAGCTACCCATTTTAATTGAATTTGAATTATCGTGCTTGTAAAGAATTGCTATTCCAAATTTAAGAAATAAATTTACTATTTATAATAAGTATTGTAATAAGTACTGAGTTTAATAATAATTACCTTAATTTTATTATGAATACTTAAAAATATAAAAGCTACTAAAGAACTCAAGCTTTAATAATGCGCATATTATGACGACATCAAAATAAAAATAATGAAATACAGATTAAAGAGTTGTAATTGTTAAGAATGAAGCATACGAAGAGTAATCCTCTATTAGTATATATACGTCTGGTTGCTACAGGCAATTCGTGAAGAAGAGCGTAAGAAAAACAAAGTATCGGAACCGGTTGGTGTGGATGGAGGCCTCGACGAGCTGACGATTTACCTGCGTACACCGACTACAAAGCCTCAAACACCAACGTCGCGACGGTTATCCCAATTGAACAAACGCAGTCCCGAAGATTCCGAAAGTATAAGTGACAAAATTGAAATTGATTCGGATAATATCGAGACACCCCCGGCAACTAGGCGACTCTTTAGTCCGTCAAAAGATATCAAACTTATCGACAAGGATACTTCTAAGAGGGATCGCGCGTCATCGGTGACGCCGTCAACAGCCTCCACGACGACACCGACCACGACTAACTGCGATGCTAATAATTCCTGCATGGACCTTGGCAGCGGTAGATATCCACTTTTTATTTACTGTTGTACGAATTCAAGTTCAAAGGCAATACTTGAAAATTTCTCATTAAGTTTCGTGAAAGTTATTTTCTCCTGACGTGATCTTGATAATACTTTAACGTATTCCTCCCATATCGTATATCTATTTTTTATTCATTATTATGAAAATGAAAAATCAGTTACGTAAAATTTATTAAAATTTTATTGCAAAGAAAATCATTAATATATAAAAATTTAAAATAATAAATAAAAATAAATTTATTAAATTTTAAGAATAACTATAGAAGTAATTTAAATCCATTTAATAAATGATCAAGATTCAATCAATATAAACTGAAATAAATTATAAATCTGTTCTGTGTAATGAATATAATAAAAAATTAGCATAAAAAATAATTACCTTTGTTATTTAAAGAATTTATGAAATAAAACAATTCATGTTAAAATACTTAAATATCAAACAAATATTTTATCATTCATATTTTAAATATGATAATTTATAATTTATTATATTAAGTATATTATTATATATAGTTCGAATATATAAGAAAAAGGTAAGAAAATCTAAGCTTTATTAAATAACTTTGTTTTTTTTAATTTATACGAAATTATCTTTACTTCAGGTATTGTATTTAAATATTCGTGCTTGACTTTTTAATGTATTATAATCATTCGAAAAATATTCTTTTTACGAAACAAGTATTTAAAAATTATTTATTGATTTATAAATGGGCTTAAAAATTACACCATTACATCAAATTAACAATAAAATCCTTTTATCATTAATGCAAATTGTTTTTTAATTAATTCTGATATATTAAAGTAATTATAAAATATTAATATTAAAATAATTTACGTAAATTTTATATATTAAGTAAAAGAGATTAAATAAACTATTATTTATAAGCAAGTATTTGTGTGCTTTTTACGGCTCAAGTAATAATATTTTCGTCCTTTTCCTAACACGAAGTTGCTTTCTCTTTGAAAATCAAAGACTCTTGTCATTGCAATATTATAATATCTATAATCGGATAAAGTAGGAGAAAGCCTGAATACTCGCTTGTATTCGATAGGTAACTTCGACAGATTCTCAGCCACCCGTCGCACGCGTCGTTACAAAAAAGGTCAGGATCCTTCACTCGATAAGGACGGCCTAAAACTTGAACTCCAGGTCGGACTTGAGAGTGGTTTGGAAGATATCATTGGAACTTTGACCACCGGTCACACGAACACCGCGGCTCGTCGACCCAGCAGCCTTGCCCTGGCCGATGAACAAAACGACGGCGATGCAATGCTCCGTATTTGGCAGGACAAGCTTAAACGTCGGGATGCTAAGCGCGCTGATATCGAGGCAGCCCTCGCAGAAATCACCAAAAATGGCGAGGATCTGCAACAGCTCTCCGGGGCAAGTGCTCGAGGTTCGCGACTCCCTGTTACCCAACCGGCTCCCGTCCTTGCAGTTACTAATACTGTACTCAGTCCCGTAATGCAAGAATCGCGACCTCGCGAGGCGGCTTGCATTCACCCCGAGAGGGCTACACCTAGTCGTGAGAGACGTCGCAGTATGATCGACCCTAGCCAAGTCAAGGAATCTCTTAGATTGATGAACGAGCCGGAACTCATTAGCAACCCTACGGACGAGATTCTGCCTAGTGACACTCTCAAAATACTTGATGGTCAGTGAAAACCGATAAATAATAAAGCAACCCAATTTCCTTTTTCCCACATACATCAATTCGAGACTAGAATTCAAATTCATGCCTGAAGGACTCAAAACAACATCTCCTTTTGAAATGAAAGTTCATGATCGTTAAATGACATGTTAATACCTTTTAAATATTAGTATTGTTGGAAATATTATCTTCAATTTAAATTAAAATTTACTTTTTTTCGTATAATATATGCATCACGAATTCCCAGTTAAAATGAACTAATTCTACTAATAATCCATTCTCGTCTAAAATATTTCTAATGATATAATAGGAAAGATATTTAATATAGCAGCGGTCGACAATCCATCGCGGAGCTTAAAATCCGAGGAGAGCAGTAGAAACTACGATCCTTTGGGTCAGCAAGTTCAAGGAAGGCAGAGCCTTGTATTCAGCAAGGGCACTCCTCGCTACATCCCAGAGCTAAGCATGACGAACACTGGTAAAGCACGCGAAATCGAGCTCAATGACGAAGGCTTCGAGGAGACACAAAGTCTTGTTTCCGAGACATTAAGCCAAGAAGCCTCCTCTGGTAATTATGAGACAGATACACATGACTCAACTCGCTGTTCACCAGCGGAGCTCAGGCGCACGGGAAGCGGTGCCAGGGGTAGCGGCCCTGTTAATGGTGAAGGTGTAGATGGAGGCGGCGGTAGTGGCCTTAAAGTTGGTTCGCCAATTGCTGGCAGCACCATGACTAAATCTCTTCAGAGGCGCGACAGCTCCAAAATCGTCAGTCACGAGAAGAACATTGCTAAAATCAAAAGCTTTGATAGGCGAGACAGTAGGGATAACTTTAGCGGCAGAATGACCAAGGGTCAAGACGGCTCGAGTTTTTTGCCTAAACGTACGGCTAGTTTAAAGAGGGAGCCACTCACCAGGTCAGTACGCTCTTCAATCCCTATTCCAGTCTTTAATGACAGTACTGCTACTTTCGTAATATCCACAATTATAATCTTCGTAGTGATGCAATTAGAATTTTTCGTATAAAACAATATTTTCATATATAGATTGAATAAAAATTAAAATAGTAAATAAGTAATAATTAGAATTAATTGCAATATAATTGATAGAAAAAATTAAATTTTTAATTTCATCATGCCAATGTTAAAAAACTTATTGATATTATTCGATTAAATAAAGTTATTGAATATCTATGAATTAAAATCAACATCCAAATTAAGAATATCTAAATTTTAATAATTTGTTAAATACTTAATACAATATTAATAAATAGAATGTTAAAATTTAATTTAATTTTTAAATGCTGGTAACAATTTCATGCTACCTACTAAATATAAATTTCCATTTTTAAAAATTTATTATTTTACTTAAGCTTCTATAAATCCTAAAGTTAAATATATTTCAAGACAAATAAATTAACAATCGGAAAATTTTTATTTAGGATTTAAATTAAAAAATTTAAGTAATAAATTGAGTAAAATTGTTGTTTTAAATAAGAATTAAATTCATAATAAGCCCAAATATTGATTTATGAAATAAAAGTAATTTGTTAAAAAAAATATTTATTTCTTAATATTAATTGAATAATTGTCCCATAAAATAATTGAATTGGAATCATATAAAATACTTAAATAAATAATATCTGAATTATGAATTATATATATATATATATATACATATTGCTTTTAATAAGTATATTTTATTAAATTATTTATTTACAATTGCTATAGCTATACATTTAATAATAACGTTTTATAAATCTATAGTTTATTTTTTCAATATATATTTACAGGTAATGAGATTCATTAAGATCTAATTTGATTTATTTCTTTTCAGTTTCGATTAATTAATTCTCGATAAAGTTGCCTTTCAAATAAATTTCTTTCAGTATAGATAAAGTTGATAATGAATGTGTTAATGATATTGCGGTACTATTATCATTGTCAGGAAGAGTTTAGAGAGTACGAGGCGCTCGTCATCGAACGCCGTCCCGAGGAACGAGGTCGAGCGCTCTGGTTCACGTAGTAGTTTGCGTAGCTCTCGCAGTTCCCTTAATTCTGCAACATCCGTAAATACGGTGCGAAACATCAGACCAAGTTCTGGTCACGCCCACCTCGGCAGATATACTTCGGCAATTCGCGCCCTTACCAACGACCTGCGCAAGAACTCCACAGGCTCAAATAGTGGTTCCGAGGAAAAAAGGCGACCTCTAACCCCGAGAATATCCACCACCAAAATTCCTGCTAGTAGGAGCAGTAGTAGCGGTAGTAGCGTTGGACCGGCGGTTAGAAACATCCGCAAATCCATAGGGGTAAGTTAACCTTTCATCGAATATTTGCTTATCACCGAAAAGTTTGTTTACATTTACACTTTCTTAATCGAAACAAATGAAAGCTTTTAAAAAAAAAAACAGTTCCAAGTCGTTTTAATTGTTCTTGCTCCATAATTCAGGAGTTGAAATTTATACCTACGCTCTTCTGTCGATACCTATTTATATAATAAGTATAAATAATATACAAAATAAGTATAAATAAGTATACATAATAAGTAATTAACTGTATTATACAAATATTGAACGTTATTAAACATTGTAATAATGAGATATTACAATATATAATTTTATAGGTTTAGACGAAACATACACATTAATAATTAATGTCTATTATAGAATTTGATTATCTGACTATTCAAATGTTGAACTTAATGTTCTCAAATATAAAATATAAATTTCTAATTTTTAAATATTTTTCATTTTAATACACTTTGTATTAAGCAATATAGTAACGTGTAGTAAGATTAGAAAAATTCTATATCTACCTATATCGTTGTATAGACGAATAATAAACAATTATATAGTTATTTACTATATAAAATAAAATAATGGATGCGTCTATTCGTCATTAAATATTTCATTATTAGTGGTTCATAATTAAAACTATTGGTAAAATAATTGTCATATTCGATTGCTAAATTCACAAGAATTAATTTAAGTGAAAATTTATGCGACGGTTACAAAAGTGACAAAATTATCAACAATGATGTCTAGATAAAATTATAACAAAATTATCAAGTGATTTACACCAGAGGTAAATGATGAATTTCCTACTTATTGTCTGGTCATATTAATAGAGATGAATAAATGATTGGTATGCAATTCGAGAGTTGAACAAGAATACATAAATTAAAAAAACAGTAGAATGATAATTATTACTAACCACTCTCATCATAATCATTATTTAGCACTCACAACCAATCGTACCGATGAATAATTTCTTCCTTATATATATACACAAATTCCGTAAGATTCATCTCAATAATACTGTTCCATCGTAATTGCAGACGGTGTCGGAGACTGCACGCACAAATAGTAATGGATCGCGCAGTCGACCTGGGATCGTAACATCACGTAGCAGCAGCAGTGGTAGCAGCGTTGGACAACAACTCTTGGCCAATGTAAGTAAAACCTTCGGACCGAAGTCCCGGAACGTTGGCGGTCCGAAAGTTGGCCAGTCGCAAAGCCTCGCTCCCAACGTCGCTACTAGGAGTCAGAGTTTCATGCGACCAACAGCCGCGAGTGCCAACAAGGGCTCAATACCCAATCTTCCCAAAAGCATGAAGACGCTCGTCAAATAGTCATTTTGGTTGGCCGTGTTTACTCCCGTAACACTTGGAAGTACATGCAGTAATTCTTCAACATATAAATAGAGAGAAGGTTGGATGGGATCGGAATTAAGAACGAACCCTCCTAATGCTACTACGTTATGCGATCCTTGTTTGATTCTTGTCCACGCCCATTGTTAATAACGTTAGGCTCCTTCAAGTCATCGCAGTAAACACGCTCGCTTGCATTCCCCATTTACTGTATATACAGACACATATAACTGCAACTGTGCTTTAGCCGGTGAGTATGTAATAAGTAAAAACCTTCTACACGAAAAATGTAAATTACATAAATGGATATCATTATATTTTCTTTGTTTATGTTTTTTTCAAAAATACAAAACTTCATTATGTTGAGTTCCCTTGATAATTTATTTAAAAGGTCGCCGATTACGTTTAATTATTACAATCCGTTACCGCGCAAAAAGGGATTTCCGTTACGAAATCCCTTATAAACTTTTCAACAATACCACTCTTTCACTTACTTACGCATGAGTCTTTTTCCTTCTAAGTATTCCGTTAAAAACAGAAAAATATAGTATTTCATAACACCTGTAACATACGCTGCGACTAACATTTAAGTACAATATGTGCATATAATATATTATCTGTATTATCATCGAAAATCGATATGAATAAAGTTGACATTTGATGAAAATTGTTTACTTCAACACATATTTATATTCCTATATTTTAACTAATATTTTCATTAATGACCTAATAAAGTAATACATCTATTTCATGAAGCAAAATATAATTAATTATATTTAATACTTGTAACTACTTACATATTACGATAACTTTATAAATGAATAAGAACTTATAATAACTAATTGATTAAATATTATAAAATATTTCATCTATATATATATATATATATAATATAAAATATTTTATATATATATATATATATATATATATATATATATATATATTATTCTTAACTATATATTTATTTAACAATAAAATATTTTTCTAAAATAGCCTCGTAATTAAAAGGTGATTAAATTTTTTATTTTAATAAAATAGCTCTATTTTACAAATAATGAGTAGAATATTAACGTAACAAATTGCCATATATGCTTTTACGAAAAGCATTTTTATTAAAATACAATACGATTGGTTTATACCAATGAAATAAATATCAGACATAAACAACTTAAGCTTATTTATTCCTTATATATATATATATATATATATATATATATATATATATATATATATATATATATATATATACATCTATAAGGATGATATATATATATATATATATATGCGCGTGTGTGTGTGTGTAATATCGCTTTTTTTAATAGTATCAAAATATGTATATATGCCGTAATATTAACGGGAATAGAATTGAGTTTAATATAAGTAGGCAAATATCAGCCTACACATAATACCGTTCCGAAGAAATACATATTAATTTCTCATATTTCTCGTAATATATTCTGTATATAATAATTTACAATTGATTCGTATATTCACATACTATACTCGTTTATTAGTGAATCGTAACATTATTATTAGTGAATTGTAAACGTAAGATTGGTCGATTACCTCGAATTATATCACTGCCGATTACCGTTAATCGATAATGCATATATAATAAATACAAAGCGCATTCGTCGCTCGATGAAAAAAAACTCTACACATTGAGAAACCGCTCACATAAATATTCATTTGCATTATATGATGAAAAGCAAACAGAAAATTCGTGACACAATTTGCATATAACTTCATAAAATAATTAAGCATTTGTACGATTTAGATTTTATTATTTCTTCGTTCGTTATTTAAAGAGTTTTGATAAAAAAAAAGATATTACGTGTAAGACATTATTGATAAATATATTTTCTAATATATCGTGTACGAATCGAGATATTCATATCGACGGAAATATTATACATTTTCACATTTAGTAAATACAATAATGAGCACTACGATAAGAGCAATAATAAATATATGAAATAATATTTTGGATGAGCTACGAATCCATTTAACGAGTTAAAAAAATTTTTAACTAAAATGATATACACGTATGAAAAACAAATGCTTTTATAAATAAGTATCGTGTAAAAAAGGTAGAAATGAATGAAAGCCAGATGGTGAAGATTCACACTCTTTAGAATTTCTCGACTTCTCCCAGACGATCCGTTGAGCAGTTTTCAAGAAACCTCACTTTCTCTGTTTCTTCTTTCTCTTTCACACTTTCTTGGCCCCTTCCTTCTCTCATTACTTGCACTCTCTCGTTCCCTACCTCTTTCGTTGTTTCATTCTCTAGTGTTTGGATTTCTCTTTTTTCTATCTCTTTTTGTGCCCTCTTTGTTTATGACAATTAATCTCATAAAACATAGAACTTGCCCTTTCACGTTGCATCGACGCGATCGCGGAAGGCGAGCGTCACTGGACCCTTTGGGGCCATTATGTACTCGAACTGTAAGACCATCTCCTCATCCGCAACTATTTCGAATTCGCGGATAATCTGGAATAGAATATTCGCTTATTAATAAAACTTATGGAGTAGAATTAATTTTTAGTATATTTTGAACGTTTGATTAATATTAATAGCTGCTTACACTAAACTACAAGCTTATCGGAATAGTTAATTATCTGAGTTAAATAAACTAAATCTTCCTACACAAATTATAAAGCAAATGAACATATCTATTATTATATAAATATCTAAATTATTACAGAAAATAATGAAAAGCTCTGATGGCAATACCCATAAAAATTTACAGAATTGATTATTATGGTTCATATAATTATGCACGTCTATTAAAAATCAAATATCACATGCACAAAAAACGATTTTATAAATGTTCCAGTATTAATTATAAATAATAACAGTGAGAAACGATATCCGTACTAAAAGTACTCGAAGCAATTTGAAAGGTTGCATAGTATAATCTCCGTTTTCAAACGAGCAAAGATGGTAGGTTACCTTGGCAACCATAAGCTGTAGGGCTTGCTCAACAAATCGTTTTCCCGGACAGATTCGCCGACCGAAGCCAAAGGGCGCGACAAGAAACGGTGAGTGAGGCTCATAATTCTCAGCATTCAACCACCTCTCCGGTATGCACTTATCGGCATCTTTGAAATTCGCTTCGTCCAGTCCGGATATCCATGTATGCAACAACACCACTGTCTGTGAAAGCATATTTTGTCTGTTCCATACACTATTGTTTTGTGAGAAACATATGCAGAATTTCAATAGAAAGATGGAAAACTTACGCCTGCTTTGAGGTGGTAGCCGCTGACTTCGACGGACTCCTCTAAAATCCGAGCGATACACGGTGCCGTTGGTAACAATCTGTAAATAAATATATAGTGGAGAATTAATTTTACTTTCCAATTTTGCTTATTCAAAAATATATGATATTAAAACCTTGCAGGAAATAAATACTTCCTTAACCAATAACGTACGTAGGTATTAATGAAATTAAAGATCTTTATCAATTATGAAATAAGTTTAGATTTATTCGAATTTATTATATTTCATTGTTTTCAATTTAAGCTCTGATAACTGCCTTAAATAGACTACTCTATGCATGCATTTATATAAAAATACATTATACGCTAATATTACTAAACGCATAAAATTTTTTTCATGTTCAGTTAACTTGATCACACATTTATAATAAAACATTCTTATATAAATACAAATCATATTCATAATAAAATTATATTAATTGTATAATTTTAATAGAAAGTTAATATAATTAAAATTTAATAAAACTTAGACATACTTTAAGAGATTAGTATTCTTTTTTTTAACAATAACTTCATTTTGTAATAAAAAGTATCAAAAGATCAGGTAATCTAATTGAATGAAACAATGAAAATACATATATATTGCGCGCACTATCCATTATCAAAACATGTTTATTGTAGATATTAAATAATAAAAAAATATATGACATTAATGAGAAAAACAAATTTATATGCTATGTATATTATGACTATATAATAAGAATAAAATATTTATATTAAATAAACAATTTTTATTAAATAAAATATTTTATTTAAATAAAATAATTCCAATAAATATTAACAATAAGTTTGATAAATGAATATAATGTTTATAATTAACTTATACTTTCAAGATAATCTATAAAGCTTTCTTAGTGAATAACATTACATTCTCTAAAACTTTTTAAAATAATAATACTATTATTTAATATTTTAAATGTATAAAAGCTTAATTAAGGAATTTGTATATAAACTGAATTCGAAATCTTTATATCGTTATACAAAGATAAAATTTATTTCTCACGGTTTTAAATGTTCATAAGACTGAAGCAGTCATTGCTTAATTTAATGTTAAAAATATTAGAACTGAACATTAATTTTTTCTTAGAAACTAACTACTTGATTATCGAAGTATAAATAATATAATTATTAACAAAATACTGCACTCAAAGCCTCGTTATTCTAATGATACTTGCTTTCATAAAAATATAATAAGTACATAAAATTGTGTTTATCATATTTTAAAATAAATGAAAACTACTGGTTAAAAGTCGTATTCTTTTTTTTAATAGTTTCTGAATGGCTTTATTAGATATATTTAATTATTGAGCTGTAAAAATATATGTAATTACGCAATAACGTAACAAAGAATAATTAATTTTATAAATATACATAATAAATACATAATAAATTAAAACAATATGAATAATTAGATAATGACTTTCCAATTTATTTCAAAGGCAAGGAAAATAAAAATTTTATTACCTTATCAAAACTCACATTATATTTTCAGGCTTTTTGTGATACAAATTAATATTTCTAAAAGGCATGTGTTTAAATTTCAAATGTTATATAGTCTAAATTTGTAATTGTATTATTGTGTTTCATAAAAAGATTAATAAAAATCATAGTATTTGCTACAGAAACATGTGAAACTGAATATTAAAATTAAATATATAAGTAAATTTAAGCAAATACATTGGAAATAAAATATGAATAATGTAAGATTAAAGAATGAATTTAATATAAATGTAAATATAATTTATATAAATAAATAAATATAATTAATATAAATATAGAAACATCGTAATATAATAAACATTTTTACCTATTAGATTATTTTCTACATTTAACGTACTAAATTTCTGGTAATATAAATAATAATTTGTATATTAAATATATTATTTATTAGGATACTATTATTTTAAGCTTATTAATATATAATAATAACCTAAATTAGAAAAATAAAATTCATAAAATAGTTTTTTTATATTTCCATAAATAAGTACAAAAATTACAAATTGCAAAAATAATTAAGAATTTAATTAAATATTAATTAATAATTAATTTTTTTTTCTAAACGAGCAAAAATATTAAAAACATTAAATGTATTTGAATAATAAATTTTGCTTGATAAAGTATTTAATTATTTTTCTTCTATTTTATATTTATTTATTCATATTTTGATATTTTCAAATAAGATTCATGAACTGAAAGATAATTATTTAAATTTTTAAATACGTTTAAAATAATACGAACTCTTTAATTCGTCGATAAATTGACAAATTAAGCCAGTTTATTTAATTATTATTAATTTTCATGTAATATTGTCAAACGGAGTTAAAAATCGCTCCTATATGTGATTAAAATTTGATTCATAACTAATTTAAATTCACTTACTTAAAATCATGGAATTTTTTGAACGAAGACAAACATTAATATTCATTCAATTTCTCATGAGCAGATATTAGAAGAAAAAAGTAAAGAAATGTATGGGACTCGTGCCTGTAAGGAAATAAAAGACCCGGCATATAAAGCAAAAGTTATTCTTGCCGAAAGCAGCATTACCTCTTGTAAGAATCTTGACAGGTGAGCAAAAAAGAAAGATTCGCGTGTGCCGTGTCTCGTGATCGTAAAGGCAATATAATTACGTCACACTCTTCAGACTACTCGAAATTCCCCGGGATACGCAAGGAGATGAATGGACAAGATGCCCAACTCAAAACGAAGTCGTCGAACTTTTAAGGAAGAAAGCCGAGCGAGCCGCTGAAGGAGCGATATCACTGGGCGGGATGGCCAGCTATAAAACCGGAAGATAAAAGGGTCATATACCAGGAGCGACTTTTTTCGCGAAGTCAGATTTTTTCGTTCTTTTATCCTCTTCGCCCTGCCACCTTCCTTCTCCTTCCCCCTTTCACCCACCACTTACTCTCACACATATCTTTTTTTTCTTCCGTTTTCTTTTAGCGCACTTCTTATTTTCAACGACCGGGGTATATTCTTTGCATTTCAAAACCAGACTCAGCGAAGCACAGCGGGGTACATGTGCCTCATTCCTAGCATCTATTTAAACATATCCATATTATTCATTTCCTTTTCTTTTCATCTCTCAGATGTCAAGTTTTATCAGACTCATCATCAATCATTGGTGAAAAGTTGCAAATCAAATTTTACTAGAATTATAGTTATTTTACTCACAAATGAGCAAAACATCTCTATGTATAGTTTATAAATGAATTCATAACCATTTTAGTTATAAACGATATTCTGAATGCAAAAATAAAATATCAATTTGATATTTATTTCAAATAATTATTTTTTTTATTGATTATATAATATGTCAACCTAAAAAATAATTTTTAAGTGATACTTAAACATACATGAAAAAAATATAATAAAAATTGGTAAAATAGCTATTCAACAGACTTTTTAAATATATGCTTAAACGATATTCTTAAATGATATTCTTAAACAATGCTCATTAGATGTAATTTTACCTGAATACCTCTGTGATGAAAGCTCGAATGTACTTTGCATTTTTCAAATCTTCCGTATTGATATCGCAGTGTGGAGGCGCCAAGGAATCTGCTTCTTCACGCAGGCGGTCTTGGATTTTTTTATTTTTACCAGCCGTATGGAGTAAAAATACTAATGTATTACCCACCTAGACATTATTAATATTAATTTAATCTAGTTTTTTTATACTCTGTATTTAATTGCAATACTAAATAGTATAAAATTTTCAACGTATCATATTGACTATGAATCCAATATATTTTTATCCAATATACTTATAAATTATTAATTTTTTTTACTGAAAACTTTTTTACTGAAATTTTTTTTACTGCTTTTGCACAAAAATTAATTCTTCCGAAATCGATCATTTTTCATATATATGCCTACATATAAAAAAATATTTTGTTTGAAAATTGCACTTGAAATATAATAAAACCATCAAATTAAAAAAAGATAAAAAAATTATCTTATAATTCTATAATAAATTATTTTTTTACATACTATAAAATAATATTGACTTAGTTTAAAATAAAAATTTCTAATAAAAACATGACATAAATTATACTCGTATTACAATTTAAAATTAATATATATAGATTATTATAAAAATTAATTTATATTCTCTATACTTATTAAAATGGATGCTGAAAAACAATTAATAAAATATATTTCTGCAGTTAAAAAATTTTTTAAAAATAAAATAAATAACAGTGAATATATATTTTCTTAACTATTAATTTGTTAATTATTAGAAAAAAAATTAATTATATAAGTATTAATTTGCCTTTTATCATATTTATCAGAATGGAATCACATAGAATATGCCGCTAAAAATTAAGCAAAATAAAACTAAGTGAAATTGTACGAAATTATTAAAACAAATAAATAATTACTGTGTGAATGCCTGCAGCGATGAAATCTACGATAGCAGCCCTCTTGTCACGAATGTCTAATGCCTTTTCCCTTAAAATTGATAGAAAAACTGCCTCGATACTCTCATCTTTCGCGCTTTCTTGTTGTTCTTTTAACGTTGTGTCAATTAAATCCGAAATTATACTAATACAAAAATTAATTATATAGATTTAATTGAAATAATAATAAATTAAATAAAGGTAAAAAATCCAAATAAATTCATTAAATGTATTTATTATGGAATTTTATTAATTAGTGTTTATATTAAGATAATACACAAACTAATGATTTATTCATGTTATTCATAAGAAATATCAATAAAGGTTAGTTATTTTAATATCGATATATTTTTTTAAGTCATAAATTATATTATTGCATTTAATTATAAATTTATTTTGATGTAAATGCTATGAGAATAAAAGGACTTACTTGTAAATAGTTTCTTCGCTGTCTGTTAAATTTTTATAAGCAGATGTGGCATATAGTTTCCACATAGGGAAACCGTAAAAAGCGTCTCTCGAGGCCAAAAAGTGCGTTCTAACTGCTTCCGCTAGTCTACTTGTTAATGTACTGACAGAGTCTGGCTTTAGGAATCCTAAGTGTCTCCCGAGCATCAGCATACATGTACCTAATCAAAAAGTGATAATTGTGAGTATATATTATAAGTCATAATTGTATTATTATTAGAAAAAGTGAATAATTAATTTAATTATCGAAAAAAATAAAAAAACTAGACAATATTTTTTCTAAATGAAATGATTTTTAAAAATAAATGATACGGAACATTAGATTTAGAAATTTATAATTATGACAGTTTATTTTATATTAATATTAAAGTAGAAATGCTAAATAAATTATAAAGTAGTAGATTTTTAATAATAATACTAATGAAATCACAGAACAAACATTAATTTAAGAATTATATATTACATTTTCAACCCAATTATATATATAATTGCTATATAGCGATAATTGTTTTATCGTTTTTTAATTTATTATACAATGTGCGAACGATAATGAATCAAAATAACAAGTCGAAAATGAAAAATTATAAATTATTGCAAAAGTCATTGTGAAGCCGATTGACCGCAATTACAATAACCACACTAAGAAGTGTCGTTATTACAAAAGAGAAAGACTATGCTTATCCTGAAACTCACTCTCGAGGCCCATTCTGTAAGCGAGTTCCTCGAATCCGATCACGCTGCATCCGGTTCTTCGACTCCGTATCAGATCGATGAAGTCGTCGGTCACGCCGTTGAGTGCGGGAAAAAAACCTAGGATGGTTTTGGCCCCCATTAGTTCCGGCGTCAGGGAAGTCCGCAATTTCTGCCACGTTACGCCTTGCCTAGTTTTTTTCCTTTTATATTATGATCACCAACATTTTCATACAGTTTTCGCTGTATTATTGTGTATGCACTTTGTGCATTTCTTGCTTATCGTCAATTCAGAGAAAAAGTATTAGAAATACTTGTGATTATATTTCTTTTTTTCAATATATACCGAGACTAATTTCATTGAACGGCTGAGTTACACAAAATTCTATTTGTAGTTAATTTATAATATTATAGTCTGTTTATTATTACTTCATCTTTTTATATAATTGAGAATAATGTTAAATTAATTGAAATTGAAAAATGTAAATCCATTATACAAAGATATTATTTTTACAATAAAAAGCATTTTCTGAAAATTTGCATTATAATAATTTGAAATAATTTTGAATAACTAATAGCGTCAGCTCACGTAATTTGTAATTACGTGTAACTACAAAATTTCCTTGAATTCACAATGCAAATACTAAAGTTAACTGAAAAAAATCTACCTATAAATCTAATTAAAAATAATAACTTTTTTCTCCAATTATTAAAAAAAATATTTTTTTATATAAGCTTGAAGATTAACAGTATTTTCTTATATTATCTGTTCGAATTTAAAAGAATATTTATAAAATATTTTCTTTAATGATATATATCACATTTTACATTATATTTGAATAAAATAAATTTCGTTTTTATTGTTAATTTTACTATATTCAAATAAATAATGCTGCTTTTACAATAAACACTTTAAACAAACCTTCATGTTTAATTAAAAACGATTTATTATTCATTGCATGTATAATTATTATTAAAATTAATGTTTAAATGATGTTTAAAAAAAATTAAAAGGTCAATTGTAATTTTAGAACTATTAAAATATATTTTAAAAATAATCTTTGAAATAGTCTTTGAAAAATAATAAATTTATAATTAGGAAAAATTGTTTCAACGTTATATTGATATTTTCTAAAGCATGACAGCTTGTTTTTATTATATATGCATTAACCAATTGTCATAAAACATCCTTCAATTTGGAAGAACAAAAGAACATGTGTTAGAAAGAAAATCGATCGATTGTATAGATTATTCTTTGGATCAAATAAGCATTTTGAGCACGTACGTGAAGAATCCAAAAAGATTTTAAAAAACACTAAGAACAAAAACTTACTCATTAACGAGCCCCAGAGTAACGTAGCGATCGGTCCTCGTCTGTCGGTAATGCGAGATAACCTCCTGGGGGGGCCTCAAGGGATATTTGCTAGCGCGCCTTAGTATTGCCTCAATGTCGCAACGTGTAAATACCGAAACGATCGGCCAATTCCAGTACGACTCCTGCTTGCACAATGGTCCAAAGCGCATCTTCATATCTGCTCTTAAATAAGGAATTAAAGAACGATGCGCTTAAAGTCCGCACCCCTTCCCCACCAATATTGACGTATACGTAAACACATTAAATCTGCAGAAGATTGAATTTGGATATTATTAATAATAATCGCATATGAAAGTGTACGTGAATGCCCAATAACTAATAATAACGCGAAAAATTAAGTGGTCGAGGGTACGAGGAACTGCAACTCGCCGCAAGCAGTGACCTGAATAAACAGATTGCTCAATGCGTTTATATATTGAAACGTCAATATTTCATTACCGACGAATTATCCTGGAAATTCTTCCATTATCAATTATCATTTGTGCAATTTGATATAAATACCTTCTGCTGATAAAAATAGAACTTATGTCGACAATTTTATTTTTCTTTCGATTTTCACACATTCTATTCATTTTTACTTCTTTTTTTTGTACGACTAAGATAGGAAAAAACTATACAGCTGGAATCATAATCCCTTATTTTAAAAAATGTTACTTGCAGAAATCTATATTCACAATCATTGAATCTTTAAAATAAAAAAAGTGTTTTATAAGTACCATAATTATTATCCGAAATAGGTACAAATGACAAAAGAGGTTTAATCATATAAAAATGTTTTTAGTTACTCACAACATTTTCTTATATGAAATTAGTTTCAAGAATTTTTTTTATTTTATGAACATTTTTCTGATTTTTGAAGATTCTCACAAATCTAAATGTATATTATTTTCCAAATTATATAAATATAATGAAACCTAACTTTATATTATTCTATTTGATATGAATTGTTTTATTACTATATTTCAAATTGTTTTAATTTATTTTATTTAGCTTGATATAAAAATATAGATTTTGTTACCTATTCCATCGGTGAACGTCAAATTTAATACAAATTTGCGTTACTAAAATATTTGCTTCTTCATGTTTAAATAAAATTATATGAATTATAAAATACCGTATAATTTAACACTCGTAACCTTTCATCTACTAAAGTTTCAATTAGTTTCGATACAATAAAAAAAAGATTTTTATCGTAATAACAGAGTATGTGATCTTTAATGATTTGGTGATTCCACAATATATTTTCAAATAATAATTTTAATGAGGTAATATAACAGATATTATATTTTATTAGAGTGTGAATATATTAGATAAATGAATAGAAATACGAAAATATATTTTTTGTAAAGCATTATGTTTCGTGTAAAATACATTTTCTATCTTGATTCAAATTTCGTCAGACGCTTAAGTTTACATCAAAATAATATTTATTATAAGTTTTACCATTTTTTTTACAATTTATACGAAAATAATATCACTCAAAAGAGACCATATATTATATCTTACTAAAAAACACTTTTATGTTTGTATACAAGTTTTTGAAAATTATTTGTTGAATATTACTAAATAAATTTTCCTTTTTAAAATATTTTATATGTTAGATTTTATTTTACAATATATGCACTAATATAATTATTAACGAGAAAAATAAGACTATTGAATTCAACATTAAATGAATCTTTGATTTAAGTTTCTAAAATTTATTATCTAATGTAAGACTTAAACGTACAATTTACACCAATAGTATTACTTCAGTCATATCATATAATAATGAAGGCATAGATAGCTAACCTAATATTATATTAATTTAATTATAATATAATTAATAATCTTTACTAATGCTTTTATTGTGCGATATTAAGCAATAAAATAAATGGATCGACATTTATAATAAAATTAAAATTCCTACAAACTGTTCAAATTTTGCAATATTTAATATTATTTGTTAATATTTAAATATTACTTATTCGTATAGAATATTAAAAAGATATAATTTTGATAAATCATTAAATAATATTATACAATTATTTTCACTGAATTAATTGCTTTATTTATTCGATGAATTATCGTGCACTATTGAATTTAACTTTAAAAACTAGTTTTACAAATTTTATAAAGAGAATTTAATTTCTGTTATTTACTTTTTATATCAATATTGACGTAACAAATGTAATTCTTAAGTCAATTATATGAATTAAAAATTTTAATTTTCAAATGTAATTCTAGTATCAATATTTAATCCGTGTTAAATAATGAAAACATTTCTTAGGAAATCTTATTAATTTAGTACCTAATAATTAATTTCGAATAATTAAGAAAATTATCAAAAGTAAATTTCATACGAATCGGCTTAATATTTAAGAACATGGGCTAAAAAGAAAGCATAAATACTATTTCTCCAAATTACATTTTTAGAGACTGTTTCTCCAAATTAGATTTTAAGAGACTGTTTCATGAATGTCTTACCTTTGTATGCTTCGTGAACTTTATCTATATGATATGGACCGAATTTAAAAAATATCCAGGAAGTGCCAAGTATTGGCAAAGAAAGTGGTCCTGGTACATCTTGAACCGTTTTATACTTTTTCCTCAACATGTTATCCGATGTATCTAGTTGATGTACATAAAGTATGTTTTGATAAATTATATTGCAGTATTTTATAAAATATAAAAATTGTAATATCCTGCATATTGTATTGAGTTTAATATATTTATTTTTATAAGAATATTTAATGCGTATTAACTGAGTATATTTTTTAATAATCATGATTATATAAATTACTAAACTGACCTGATGTTTTCCGCGATCTTCGACTCCAAAATATCCAAGGTGGCCAATAGCTCGTGGTTAAAACTAAAAGCGTGAAAAGCGTCGCCGCTACAACTTCCAGAGCTACCGTTAACAGCATATCACAACCAACCTTTTATTCTGTAATTATAATATAGTAATAATATAATGATATTTTTTATATTATACTAGAAGTTTTAATTATAGTTCAATAGTTCATTTCACAATGTATATAAATTTAAAAACAAAAATAATCATTCAAAATACAAACGAAATAAATAATAATTATTAAACTATAAAAAATATATTTTTAAAATAAAATTAAAACTTTTTATAGGCAAATGATAATTATCTAGAAATAAATATAAATGTTAATATGTTAAATATAACTATTACAATGGATATATAAATCGAATAATACATTGGAAAAAGGATAAAAAAAATTTTCAATAATTTATATATGTGCATAAAAATATTGAATAAAATTTTTTTAACTATTCTACAGTTCAACAACCTACATTTTAAAAATGTATGTAAATTTTGAAAATAACGCCTACCGAATATAATCGATAGGTTCACTCACTTTATGTATTATTATATTGAACGAACTTTCAAGTAGCTATCAATTTTGGTAGAATTAAAATATTCAGTACAGGGCGCGAGAGGAAGAATTAATAGTAGACAGCGATGAAAATACCCGAGCGCTACGACTGAACAAACCTTGGGAGCTTGCAATAGCGTATGATGAACTTCAGCGGATGAATCGAGTCGCCTAGAGCTATGATGCTTTTGCTCAGTGCAAATCGAGCCCTACTAGAAAGAAAAGATAGACGGCGGATGGGAAGGAGAAAAAAAATTTAAAAGATCCCCGTCGCCCTCTTCCGGCATACCGTCTGTGCATTCATTTCGCGTCGTTTATAAATCGCCAGCTATAATCGACTAGTACACAAGCGCATGGATGCGCGCACTTATTGTTGCACATAATCTCTCCTCCTTCCCTCTCGCTCCCTCACTCGCTCTCTCTCTCTCTCTCTCTCTCTCTCTCTCTCTTTCACTCTCTCGCGCACGCGCCCACACGCATATATACACATCTTGTGTCTCTTCAGGTCAGAGATACTTTCGCTCGCGTGATGCACCGTAACGAGGCCTTATCTGCCTTTATCGCGCTCTCGCAAACAATGGGGCCCTATGCAGCCATATCCACAGCATCTAGCGAATCTACGTACTTTCACGATCTCTCACTCTCCCCCATTGGCTCTAGCTCTATGCACTTATGTGCGGATGCGAAATGAATAGTACTGTCTGTTTCTTCCCCTTAAGTTCTTTCATGAGGAATTTACGATGGAGCACTTATACGCAATGTTACTGCAATTTATTTATAATATGCTTGTTTAAAAACTTATTCAACAAATAAGCTCTAAAGATATGATTTGCTATACGGATGGTCAATTAGTCAACAGATGTTATATAGAAAACGAAAACAGCCTTTACTTCATGCCTAAAGTTATTATTTCATAAATTGAGAGACCTATGGAGATAAATTAAAACACCAATATAATTTTTAATAGAATTTAATCTTCTAGAAAAAATTTAAAACTATACATTAATATTTATTATATTAAAGACTAATAAATAAATGCAAATTTTATAATTTATTTAATTTTCCGATTATCAAAATATATTTTAAAGATTTAATATAAAATAAAGTATGCTAATAATATTCATACAAATTTAATATAAAAATTAATGAAAATAAACATTCTTAATCATTCATAAATTAAAAATATCCTATATTTAAGAATATTCAAATTTTGTTGTACTATACTTTATCTTAGAGAAACTTGATGTAAAATTTATATTTAAATTCTTAGAAGTTCAAAAGATCAATAAACAAAAACTTCAATACTTATATTTAGAATCACTTTAAATATAATTGCTATCAAAAATTATCAATTGCATATGCAAACTTAAATATTTTTAAACTCTTTATTTTATAAATAGTAGAAAATATTTTTGAATGATAATATTAAGTACCAATAAATCTTAGCCGATAAAACAAATCCTATTGTTTAGTCTTCAAGATATAATAATTAAGTATTTTTAACGTATCTTCATTTATCATCTTAATATTTATCTTTGTAAATAGTATTTTTATTTTTTTAAGCTACGCAACTTTTTAAATTACAATCATGATATCTTAAACGTTTAACTGTAGTCGGAATTGCAGACAGCAAATTTAAATACAATGTTTAATACTTCATAATTAATCAATCATTTTTATTAATATCTTAAATTTATAATTTTAAAGATTATTTTATTGATTCATCGATAACAAAGATCAAAGTCTTAACACTTGTCGATAACGTAGGTTTTCAATAATCTAATCATTTTCTTCCAATATGAAAATATTAATTAAATGAAATAAATCAATACAAATTAAACTATACACTACAAAGATACATAGAAAATTAAACTTTTGTAATTGAACTGTTTTTTATAATCACATTCTATTAGTAATAAAAGTTAATTGTTTGATCAAAAAATTTAATCAAACAAACAAAATATATAGTTTTAATTACATAAATACATTTTTTTGTAATAATACATATATACAGTGTTTTACAATGAAATCATGTAAAATATCGAATTAAAATAGAAACTAAGTGCATAATATTAATTAAAACAAAAATAAATTAAAATTGTACAGTTTCAATTAATCTCGCAAGTATTTTCGTTCTTCTTCTAAAATAAACATATATCCTTCAAAATTAAGATTTTAAGCTTATTTATAGTAGTATAATTACCATCTACACTAACATTTTTCTTAATCATGCTTCAATAAATTTTTGCAATAAAATATGATAATTATATGCCAGTATTCAAATTTTTAAATGGATTAAGTAACTAAGATTGAAATAAATCATCTGATAATAAAAATTATTTACCAATGACTAACATTTGCTTCCAAAATATAACAGTTTGTGTAAAGATAAAACTTCAAAAAATAAAACTGAATCGTGGCAGTCTCCACAGATTTAATATAATACAAACTTGTCCTTTAATGATACCATTTAATTTTTCGTAAAAATATTTAAATTAATAAGTATATCTAAATTTTGATTCTTTCTAGTTATCAAAAAATATTTTAATCAAACAATTGTAAATAATATCATATGCTTTTTCATTATTTATAAATATAATTAAAAATATTATCAAGTTCGATATTTAACATATTTTAAAAGTTTAATTACAATAATTTTAATTACAAGATTTATTTAGATGTTTTATATTCGGATAATAAAAATAAAATTTTGAAATGATTACACAACTTCTGATTAAAATTATAAAAAGTTGTTTGATTAATATAAATTCTTGTTTTATAAAATAAATTTAAAAAATTTTTATAAAATAAGTATATAATACATGTAATTGAATATTTCATTCGTTTTATAAAGAATGCCAATGTCGTTGATGATAGATGAAATATAACTTAATCTGTAATTTAAAAACTATAAACGTTTTAAATGTTGCTTAGATTACTATAATATGATACAATATTAAATTATTTTGCAAAAAAGACTCGCGATAATAGTTTACCATACAAGTAATTTTTAATTTAAAATAATTTTGTACTTATAAAATTACAATTTTCTTTCTACATCGTGTGATGCATTATACTGACCAAGTAAGGTACACAAATATTCTGAGTTATTAAAGTGTTTTTTTTAACAGTATGTTTTTACTATTTGATTGTTTTTTAATTAATTTAAAGCTTATGATATTGTTTTTCTTTTTATTTCCTTTAAAAATTACTTTTTATTATATACTAGCACAGTCTAAAAAAGAATATGTTCATGAATAAATTTGTATTTTACAACAGTTTAATTGCATTGAAGATGAACTGAAATAACAATAGTATCTTTTAAAATAAGTAAAAAATATTTCTTTACGTGTGATTATTATCGCAAAAATATGGTAAATATTTTCTATTTTAATAATAAAATTTTAGTTTTTAAAAACTATAGTAAATATTTTGATTTAATTCAATCATTTGATTATCTTAATCGCTCTTTTTATGATTTGCCAAATGACTTCTCGCACGCCATTTATTGCTACTTTTATTCTTAAAAAAAAATAGACAAATCTATTTTTTGCAATTTAAAAAGCCTGATTTATTAATATCATATTTTACTTTTTCGAAAAACACATGCCAATTTTAAATTTCTTATATTACATATTTATGAATAATAGAAATTAATTGTACAGAAATATAATTATGCAATACTCTTGCTCAACTCTTCGTTTTATCTTACAAATAATTAAATGATGCATTTCACTAAAAGGTAAAAAATTTCTATTAGCCTTTTTCAATATAATTGCATATATTGGCAGGAAATTTAATTATGATAAGGGGCACTTTGAATCGTGATAAAAAGGGACTTAAGAGAATTAAAAATAATACGAAAAATAATGCAGTTGCGATAAGAATTATAGGTAATTGCATACATATAAGCTCACTTTTCTTCTTTGAAATTACGAGATTTATAGAAGTAATTTAAAACATCAATACAATTTCTGACATATGTGAACTTAATACCGAATTTTATCATAATACAGCAATATTACATTTTCGCATGGTAGACAAAAAGGATATAATACTACAGCATTTGGATAAATAAAAATATTCTATGTAAACATCTGTAATTATACTGTATGCCTGCGTATACATATGTATGCGGGCGCGCGTGTGTGCCTGTGTACGATTAGCTGGATGATTAAGAAAGTCATAGATTAAACATCATATGAAGTAAATAAATAAGATCGGTTATCAATTCCACAAATAAGAAATATTGCAAATGGATCAATGTGTTTAATGAAATTTGAATTATGTTATATTATAAATGCATATGTAAATGTACAAGTAACTACATATTTTTATACATGAAGGTAATTAATGATATCACGATACAAAGATACGTTTGAATTTTGTATTAAGATAAAAATGACAAATTGACTTGACGCTAATAAAGGATTTTTCATTTTTTATTGCAACTAATTGTAACTTTATATTATTTATTATTAACACAAAAAAACTATTACGCTAATGTGAATAACAAACTGCCGATAAAGAAATATTCGGT